AGTATACTAACATATGAATGCAAAATTATACTTTGTTTCGTTCTGAAGAAACATCTATTCAAAAAGTTGGAAATTCAATGATATTTTTATGTATTTCAGATGAAAGAAATTCGCAAGCTCAATAATATAACATAATATGATATAATATGATATATTATAATACAATATAATGTAATAAATCATGATATAATAAATAATAAAATAATAAATAATAATATAATATGACCTAAAAGAATGATTAGAAACGGCTGCAGGCCGAAAAAACAGCAAATACTCGACAGGATCTAATATTTGTTTTATCGGCTGTGCCTGTTTCATAAGAACATTTTCATAAGAACATTTTCTTTTAGGAAATCATATAAAAAAGAAAAAAATAATTTCACCATTGTAGATTTACGATCATGGAGTAGAAATGGGAAAGGTAAATCACGGGATTTGGTCGGAGTGAAATAAGAATCTAAAAATGTTTAAACAGAAATATTTTTGAAACGATTAATGTTTTTAATGTCGTCCTAATGTCTAAATGCCTTTAACATCTTAATAAAAAGTTTTAATGTCTTAATATCATTTCTTATAAATGGTGTACACATATGTCATCTTCAGCTGCAACTGCATTTGTGCCGATTACTTTTAACGGAATTAAGAGATCGGTTGCACGAAGTCAAAATAACAGAACACTGTAACGAAAACCTTAGCATACTCTTGCGCATCACGTAGTGTATGGGGCTTGCACTTCTGGCTATGAAATGGTACTGCCCCAAGCGGCGAGTCTGTGAAGCGCAGAGGGGCCGGCCGGCGCGGGCCGAGGCGTTGGGGCAGTGCCCCTTCGCGGGCGCACCGTTACGCGCAGCTCCTATTAGCGGCCGCGGGGGCAATTGTGGTGCGGGGAGGGGGAGAGACTACTCGACAGATGAGGCGGACGGCCCGCAATGTAGAGCGCAGGCGGGGCCTGGAGGGGGGGGGAAGAAAGGGCGGAGAACGCACGGCCGGGGCGAGGCGGGCCCGCCACGGCGGCGCCGAGAAGGAGTGAAGCGAGCGCACGGGTGGCCTTGGCCTGTCGGGTCGGTCGGGTCGGTGTTCGGGACGGACCGACGCCTGTCGTCGGGTCGAATCGGATCGAATCGGATCGCATTCGGATCGGTTCGGAATCGGGTCGGCGCGGAGCGGGTCTATCTGGTCGAGCGAGCGAGCGGGTCGAGCCGGAGCGGAGCGGTCGGGTCGGGTAGGGCAGAGCTGGGCGGAGCGGAGAAGAAAACGGGCGAAGGTGGGCGCGCGCAAGTGTGGGCGTAGCCTGATGGGCGTCGGTGATTCCCGACGATTAAACAAATTTGGAACAAACAACTGAAGAAAACGTTTTCGAAAGAGTTCCGTTCAAACAGTGGCTGAGAACTGACAGATCAAATTTAGAGACAATCATCAATCAGCATAAAACTATATTTTATTGGTGCGTTTAATGGCAAAACTTAGTGAATTATTGACACATTCATTTATCTCTTCTCAAGAAAATAATACTTACGAGATCGTAAAACATCGCTTCAAGAAGGAAAGGGGGCGAGGACAGGACACGGGCGGGGCGTGGGTGGGGCGTGGGCGGGGCTCGTGGGGCGACGTAGTGAACCTGAGAGACGCGGGTGGGGGAGGGGCAGGGCGAGAGAGGCGAGAAAAGAACGAAAGAGGGATAAGGAAGGTTGCGAGCACTCAAGTGCCTTCTGAGTGTTGCGAAAGAAGAGTCCCGCTTTCTTGTGCGTTTTAATCGCGCGGTCTAATGGCCCACTGAGTACGGGGAACGGTAAAAGAATAGACGGGCAGTTCAGCTGCACCTGTGGACTTTTTTCGGCGTAACGAAGCAAGGAACCGTGTCTCCAAAAAGTAACATACGTTTCTCGAAATTGTTTTTTTGCGGAGTCATTTCTTTGGTACACTGTTTATACTCTTTTAGAAATATTGATAATAGGTTTTACGAACCATTTCCGAAATACTGAACAACAGACATAATTTGTCCTAATAGGTCCCTCCACACATTACAAAAGTTATCATCTAATTCTCGTATTAATTTGTATTATATTAATGCGTTGGTATCATAATCAATTTTGAAATAGACACTTGGGAGATCATTTTATTGCAGATAAAATTCAACAGAATTTGCTACATGGAAGAAAGGTAACCACATTCTATAAAAAAACAGTTTTGGTAAAATGGTGAAGACTAGAATTGTTCCATTCACATCAAAAAGTAGGAAATGCGATTATGTGAAAAGCGGCCTAAATATTGATATTGATAATGATAATAATAATCGTAATAATAATAATAATAATACTATTATTTATTATTTAATTAAAATTAATTAAATAATTATATTATTAATAATATAATTGTTTAATTCTTTTTAGATTTTCCTACAATGAATACAATATAACTTTCGATTTTTCATATTATTAATTCGAAACAAACATTATATAGTTCCAACATCTTAAAAATATCTCATTAACGTTCTGAACGAGTGACATTTGCGGCGGCTTGCATGCAGGTTCTTGGGCCGAGGTCCCAGGAGCTGGCTTGGTGGGGGGGTGGAGTGGGGTGGAGAGGTGTCTTTTTGCGCTCGCCGCTCATTGTGTCCTCTGTTTAGACGGTCAGGGTTGTTTGCGCACCGCCCGCTCCGCCCCCACCGCCCGCGCCGGCCCGCTTTGCGCCTCTCAGCGCCGTGCCGCGCCGCCCCCCAACAAAACCTCTCCAAGTGTTGCTCTTCTTAACAGATTACTCCAGTAAATTATCATGAGAATGTGTGCCTAATAGACTTAAAAGACGCGCAAAAAAAACTTAAGTTGAAAGACGCCGGGCGTTCTTCCGAACAAGCAGTCGGACACGGTCGTTTCGTTTGGACGCGCTCCCTTTCCAATAACTTGCCCATCATCCAGGAGGCCGTGGGGGCCCCTTTCTACGAGCAGACGCCGCCGCCGGCCCGCGGGCGCTGATTCGGGGGGCTTTGTGTTAGACGCGGCGTGTTAGCTGAGGATACTTGTGTCCACACGTTCCATTCGGGAGCATTTCATGCATTCATGTGTGTGTTTCATTTTTTCTTTCTTTCTTTTTACTTTTCTTTCTTTCTTTTTTTTTTTTTTTTTTTGTTTTTTGGTTTTTGTGAAAGGAAGTTCATTTTGCCCTGAAGTGACGTGGATGGGCGCTGCAAACGTCCGACGACACAATTCACCACAGATTAGTATCAACTCTGACGAGTAATAGCACCTCCGGAAATGGAGTGACAACACAAGTAACTCGGTCGAAGAGATGCGCGAGATTGCTGGAAATGACTTTTAAATTTATTTCCTGCTTGTTCCTGCGTGTTATGTAAATATTTCGCGATTGAATTTGCTCAATTTGTATATAGTATGACAGTTACGTAGTGCATAGGTTATAAAGCGACAGCCATGTTTATTCGTAACAAAACGTTCTAAAAAGTTACCAACATGACAGAAGTTCGGTTTCACCTTGCATACAACCAACGCAAGAGTGATACATGAAAGAATAAAATGTCTATTCATTATCCAAATAAAAGGTATTTGCGATAATCCAAAGCTGGGACATACAATTTACTTATTGATATAATAGAAATGTTCTAATTTTACATGATTATTCTTAAAAATTGTTAAAATAATTTAATATTTGCAAATTGAATTAATGTTGGTTCATGTGTATCATCCAAAACTTGTATTGAACATTCATTATTTCCACTTTCTAACTGTGAATTTCCCCTATTCTTTTTCACGTAAAACTCTAGTGCTTAATGGTTTATTTCAGAAACAACATTTTTTCTTGTTGCTATTTTGTCTTCTTAGTGCAGTCACCTTCTCTGAAAGTAAATGCATTGCTGGAGGCAGATCATCCAAAAATGATGGGAATATATCATTCAAAAGTGATATTGTACATACAAGAGTAGAAATGTCTCACATTCCTTTTACGTAAAACTCGTAAGGAGAGTGTTTGAATGGTTTATTTAAGAAACAACAAAAGTCTGTTTTTGGTTGCTATTTTGACTTCTTAATGCAGTCACATTCTCTGAAAGTTCATGCATTGTTTGTGGCGGATCTAGCGTAGGTCAACCAATTCTAAAGGGTTTTTGGAACACACTTTCTAAAGATTTGACTCGCCATTTATAATTATATTCACAGCCAAATCTTTTTAATCAAAACTGAAGGTTAATAGCCGCAGATGGCGTGTTGATGTCGCAAATGAAAAGTTACTTGACTCTGAATTTGTTGTTCCTGAAATGAACCACTCGTATGAAATAAGCTTGGCCTTGAGTGACGGTGTGTGTGTCTGTGTGTGCGCAGGACCAAGTGGAAGCGGCAGACGGCCGTGGGGCTGGAGCTGCTGGCGGAGGCGGGCAACTACGCGGCGCTGCAGCGGCTGTACGGCGCGCCCCTGTACAGTGGCTGGCCCTACCCGGGGGCGGCGGGCGGCGGGGGCGTGCCGTCCGTGGTGGCGCCCAGCACGCAGGACCTGTACTACCGCCAGGCGGCGGCGGCGGCCGCGGCGGCGGCGGCGGCGTCCGTCAGCACGCTGCAGAAGCCGCTGCCCTACCGCCTGTACCCACGCGGCGGCGGCGTCCTGGGCGGGGCTGCCGCCCCGTACGTCGGCCGCCCGGGGCCGCTGCACAGCCGCCGCCGCTCGCAGCTTCGCGCGTCCACGTCGCTCAGTTCGCTCCCATTCTACTACAACAACCACCACCTACGGCGCAGCAGACCGCCGCCGCCGCACCCGCCGCCGCGCCGGCACCCTCGCCCCGCACGCGCGCGCCGGCGCTCGGGCCGACCGAGCCCCGGCGCCGCCCCCGCCCGCGCACAGCCCGCCGCGCCCCCCTCGCGCCCGCCCTCCGCGCCGGCGACGCCCGCCGCGCGTCTAAGTCCCGCGCTCGCGCCGGCCCAACTGCCTCACGTGCCACCAATTCTTTAGTAGAATATCCGCCGAGAAACAAGATACGAACGATCCCCCCCCCCCCACGTTCATTCCTGCTCGAAATCAACCAAGCCCGTAACGCACAAAAAGAATTCCCCAACACCAACAAAAAAAAAAAAATCGGAATATTTTGAAAAGCGGGATGTCTCCCGCGCGTTGTGCGGTGAAACCCGGCCGCGACGTCGTGGCCCGCGGCAGGGGCCGGCCGTTGGAAAGCGGGCGGGCGGCGGCGAGGCCGGCGGGCGACACTGGAGCGCCCTGTCGAAACCGAACACCCGGCGGCGCGAGACGCTAAACGCCGCGAGCCCGCCCGCCACATAAAACAATCCTAATGAAGGCAAACAGAGCACCGCGACGCCGTCGCCGACGCCGGCCGGGTCACCTTCACGCGGCCCCAGCGCCACCGCAGACCGCGTTCGGGACGCCGGCGTCGCCGACCGCAGGCCTTTAGCTTGAGTTACGAAAAATTATCTCCTTACGGGAGCGCTCTGGCGGAACCCGCGTCAAAAGCAATCTGGCTGCGATGGCGGGGGCGGGGCGGGGCGTGGATGGCCCTCCCCCACGACGCCGTTGTGTGTCTGTAACGAGCGCCGCATCGATATTTCCACCAATCAGCGAAGACTCTTGTGAGCCGAGTGAGTGAGCGAGCGAGAGAGCGGTAGCGCACGGCGGATTGTGCCAGACAAGCTAACGAGCAAAAACAGTGAAGACTATTACGTTTTGTGTGTTTCATTCCAAGAATGTCATTGTCCTACTTAACCCGTGACTGGGCAACTTCGTCACTTAAAATTTAAAAAAAAAAAATAAACAAAAAAAATAAACAAAGAAATGTGCACTGTAAAAAAAATGAAGAGACTCCAGTGACTGAGTGACAGCTACTACGGTGTAAAATTCCTCGTTAGAGAAGAAGGGCATGTGTAAATAGTGTAAATAGAGATATGATATATTCATGCAATTGGTCTACTGCCTCGGAGAGAAGCCCAGGGTGCGGCGGCGGGGTCGCAGGCGGAGGCCCAAGTGGCGAGTTGCTTACCAGCCTGCCTGCCACCCCGCGGCCCGCCGAGCTGCCATGACTCGTCCCTCCCCACACACAACTGCGACACGCAACTGCGACACGCAACTGCGACACGCAACTGCGACACGCGACCGCACGCTGCGACGACGCGCTGCTTGCGACATGCCACTTCCAGGGGGGGACGGCTCTTTAAAAGAGCTCTGACTCTCTCTGGAATTGAGCTTCTTACCAGCAACGCGTGATTTACATGAAAAATATATAAAATAGTTTTTTGAATATTTCAAATTATCGAATATTATTACGATTGTTTGGACATGCCACTTCCAGTGAGGGCAACACTCTTCAAAAGAGCTTTGACCCCATCTGGAGTTGAGCTCCGTTCCAGCAACGCGTGATTTTTACGAATTATATAACTTTTTTTTAAATAGTCCAAATAATCGAATTTTATTACGATTGTATTGAGTTCATAAATTGATGCATCACTTTATTAATCTATACCACTCTGTGGTAACTTATAAAACTACACTGACGGATGTGGGCAATTGACAAATATTCCTATTGTTAGTTATGGAAACTACCATTTTATAATTCCGCCTATTTCGTAGAATATTTTAAGAAAATATTTTCAAAATAATATAACTTAAAGGCTCTCCGACGTAATATGCTCATTCTGGGATATCATATGAGTAACAAATTATGGTGTCAATATTTAAAAATGTATATTTATATATATCTCAGCAACATTAAATAAACGTTTTTTGATTAACTGTTTGTTAACGATTCTAATTCAGTAAATATAATTTTCTGATACAAGGAGTGACATTGTGCAACCACATTCGTGTTAAGGAAAACGCGTCCCGTCACCTTCAAAATGTGATCAGGTGGTGTCACAATACCAATTTGTTCATACTCTTTCCACGAAAAATATTGCAACACTGAGACACAAGTAGGCCTATTATATATTAGTAGGCTTATTATAATATTGCCTCTAAATGAGGCTGAGCAGGAAAGATAGGCGAGCTGAATGGAAGTCAGAAGTCCCGCAGCCGCATGGGCGTAATCTGTATGATATTACATAATTAAATATATATTCCTCCCATCAGGAGTCAACAACATGCACTTTCCTACTCTACTATTCGCATAGCTGAATTCTAATGTTTAAAGGAAGTTTGTCATAGCCACTTCTCTCTCATCATTTTCGTCTGAAAACGTTCGCAACTGAGAAGCCGTATGGCTGAGTGTTGTATAAATCACCACATTGTGCAATAAATAAATAAATTAAAGTACATAAGTGGAAGGGGACTTCCTACGCAGCGAGCACCGTGGCATCGAACTCGAGCCGCCTAGAAACAGAAAAGTAACGCGCTCCTTCGCGCAAACTATTCTGCCGTTTTATAGCCAGTGATCAGGTCATTTCTAACTTCACGGTATTATGCGTGCTGGGAAACACTTATCTACGCGAAAGCAATATTAATATCCTTGAAAATCTTCGTCAAGCATTCATTTGTCACAATATCTCTTCAAATTCCGAATGCTGCCTGAGAGGCTATCGGGTGAAAGGATATTAAACTGCGGCGGAGCGCTACTCTGTCAGACTAAGATGGTGGTCACTTTGGAGTCGATTTTTGCCGAAAATTCGGTCGGCCGTTTCGGTTCGTCCCGGATTCGTTCAATTGCGTGATGGTCACCGTGAACCCAAACTCCTTCCGACGGCGTCCGAAAAGATCGGCTGTCGGACAAAAAACTGTTTCGTTTTGTTTTGTCCGTGCGACGTCGGCCAACCGAAATTTTGGCCAAATTCGGCTCCACTGTAAACCGAGCTCGAGCGAGCGCACGTTGAGATATCGCTTCGCGCCGTCCTGCAGTCGCAGCGGAGGCAAAAAGCACGAAAACCGATATGCGCGAACAGCGACTGCACATTCACGCGGTTCCAACCGAGCGGACAAGACAGATGAACTACGAGGCCTGCTCGAAAGGTTACGTAGGTTTTCAGTATTGTGTTGCCATGAGTACAAATACCATTTATCGTTTTTTTGTTGTTTTTTTTGTTTTGTATGTTTGAGGATTTATTACGCCTCGTATTTTATACCAGCGACTGAATGCCAGTATACTGTATTGTTAATTTATGTCATCCTTGGTTGCTTACAACGGACAAGTCATGGCTGAGCTCAATCTAAATGAATCTCATGTTTGTTGGTAATGCTTGTAAATGTATTTCGAGGATACAAATTTTCGCAAATTGAATGTCCACATAATTGAAAATTGGACTTAATATTGTGTCAGGTATGAATTATGCGTAAAAACGTAATCATATTTCCTATAAATTTCTAAAAACGTCAAAAATACTCATAAAATATTTCAGATCTACAATTCTATATAAATTTAATATAAAGCAACCTGTGCGCTATGTTTTGTTTGACAGGAAATGTATGTTAAATTGTGAAAGCTACAGTGAGTGTACATAAATATACATAGGACTCCTCTGTTATATACTATATATAGAATACCCTAGAGTGTAGTGTTCGCTCAGTATTACATAGAAATCAAATTATATAAACTATTCTATGAAGAGTCTGTATTTAAGTGTGCGCAGCGACTCGGCGTGCAGAGCAGTGTACCATACATACTCTAGGCCTACAGTACTTTCAGTTGATGCTTTGTAATAATAAATATTGAAACAAATACTGTATATTTATCTTTATTTTTTCTTTATTACCCCTCCTTATTCCTGCTCATAATTTCATTCCAAACCCAGAAAATAGAAACTTTGTATATCCATAGTGTACTATTTGATGCATACTTTATTAAAATGACTAAAACTATGGAAACTATTACAAAAATAATAAAAGGAAAATTGTAGTTTGCATCAATCTCTTCTAACGATGCGCTAATTGGTTTACACTACTTAATTGAACGTGGTAACAAGTTGATAATCTGTATACAATATACGTCATAATCGTAAAATTTATTTTAAAAGAAATCTATATGTTGAACACCTTTAACATAATTTATCATAAAACTCATTTACAATAAATGTCAAAATAAAATTTTAAACCAACACATTTTATTGAAAACATTTAAAAGTGTTGGCTTCTATTCCTGATGCAATATTTAAAAGCGTGACGATCACATAAGAACATCAATTCTTTTATACCACATATAATAAGTCTAAAAAATACAATTCCAATATGTCGCTAAGACAACTAAACGATACTCAAATATGAAATTTAAGTTAATATCACATACATTATTCTTTATGGTAGCTGTAAAACCTTTTTATGTCATTGCAGTATTTTCTGTGCAAATCCGATTTGTGATAATTACCTTTTGGAATCATCTTTCATTGTATTAATCCTCACAAAGAAATCAAGTAACCTGAATCCGTTGGCCACCACTCACGGTCAGACCTCTCCCGAACCACCAATCGATTCAACTAAGATGTCATTCGACGCATATCGATCTCTTGGTGGAGTTCTGATCTTTTTTTTTTTTCGGATTAATCCAGAAGGTTCTACGAGTTTCCTCTAAAAAAAAAAAGTTTTTGAAGCAACTAAAACTAGTTTTAGATGACTTACGACACCTTCAAAGGTGATCAGTGACTCATTTGAATCCTGTCGACACGTCAAAACGACCAATTTCCACTAGAATATTCAGGAAGAATTTTACAAAAACATTCTTTCTCATGGTTTCATTACACGTACGAGTACGTTGGGGTAAACGTTGTGAATTGTTATACTCTTTTCAGAATTTACACGAATGATTACGACTTTATTCATCAGAGCAATGATAATTGAACCTAATTTTGTAATGAAACAAAAATTTAACAAAGTGTTAATTGTACATTTCCATGTAACTATGTGTTAGAAAATGAAGGAGACAGGTAACTGTAATATTTAAAATTAATTTCTGTTATAAACTTACAAATAACAAGTGAAGCTTAACACGATAAGCTAGTATAATTGTACACATGTAAAATATTTCGACTATTTTTATTGTTTCGATTCACAGATACAGAATTTTCTGTCTTAGCAGAGTTCATTGCTATTGAAAGGGCTTTGTCGTGTATGTCTAAGAAAACAGATTTATGTTCGATCAAAAGATCAGACAACATTTTAGAAGAAAAGTTAAAGAAACCGTAGGTAGACGGTAAGACGGTACTGTCTAGATCACTGACATCTAATTTATGCCGATATTAAAGTGGTTTGAAAAATAAAGTAATTTTCTTTTCCTTGCTCAATGGCGCTTACTTTTGTTCTTGTGATGAAATTAATTTGAAATGGTTTGATTTCAACACCATCAGGGCTAATTCTTAGGCTTATTCTTAGGCCTATCATTCCGGTCTAACCTGAAATAACACTCGCATTTAAAGGCCTAATTTCTAATTGATTCTATTTGCCGTGCCGTAGTGGCTGCGCTAGCTTTATGCCCATGCATTTACTGAACTGAATGCAAAAATGTATACAGTCGAAACTTACCCAATTCTAGTGATCCTAATCAGAGCTCAATTTATTTAGTTTGTTCGTAAATGTATTCTTATGAGAGATGACATGAAGTTATGGAGGAACATTTCTTTTACTTCACAGACTTTTAGGTTGTGAAAAAATATACGATTAATGAATAAGAAACTTTCACGTGATTCTTGTAGGTCACTTTCTAGCAATTTAAAGAGATGTCATTGGCTTGCCTTTTCACTAAATAATTAGCAGTTTCTGTAAAAAAAAAGAAACTGATCTACTCCATGGATGTGAAAATGTTTACGTAGCGCAAATATGACTGCAGAACGAGACTTAACACTACTAATCAACAGCATATCAACAACAATACACATCGATTCATGAAGGTTTGAAAAAAATAAAATTGTTCTAAGAAGAATTTTTCTAAAAAAGAAAGTAACCAATAAATAGTATAAGTATATATTTATATACAAAAGTCGAAAACAATTTATTTTATTTTAATTACAAAATATTAGCATAAAAGGTACCAATGACATTGTACATTTCAATGCTATTTAAAACGCACGGTTTTACCGTATTTCAATCTGAAATAAATACTCTAAACTACACAATGAGTATCATATCAATTGAGTTTTTGTTCCATCTCTAAAGCACATGTGATGGTCCTTTACATACATGGAAAGCAATATTTCCATGTATTACAATTTTTATTCGCCCTTCCTAAATAAAAGAT